AGAGACAATTCCTAATTGAATACTCTTTATTTCTTTTTCTTGCCTGATTGCTCTAAGAACTTCCAATACTATGTTGAATAGGAATGGTAAGAGAGGGCACCCTTGTCTAGTGCTAGTTTTCAAAGGGGAATGCTTCCAGTTTTTGCCCATTCAGTATGATATTGGCTGTGGGTTTGTCGTAGATAGCTTTTATTATTTTGAGATATGTTCCATCAATACATAGTTTATGGAGAGTTTTTAGCATCAACAGCTGTTCAATTTTGTCGAAGGCCTTCTCCACATCTATTGAGATAATCATGTGGTTTTTGTCTTTGGTTCTGTTTATATGATTGATTACATTTATAGATTTTTTTAGGTTGAACCAGTCTTGCATCCCCGGGATGAAGCCTACTTGATCATGATGGATACGCTTTTTGATGTGCTGTTGCATTCGGTTTGCCAGATTTTATTGAAGATTTTTGCATCTATGTTCATCATGGATATTAGCCTAAAATTTTCTTTTTTACTTGTGTCTCTGCCAGCTTTTGGTATTAGGATGATGTTGGTCTCATAAAATGAGTTAGGGAGTATTACCACTTTTTGTATTGTTTGGAATCGTCTCAGAAGGAAGGGTACCAGCTCCTCTTTGAACACCTGGTAGAATTTGGCTGTGAACCCATCTGGACCTGGACTTTTTCTGGTTGGTAGGCTATTAATTGCTGCCTCAACTTCAGACCTTGTTATTATTCTATTCATGGTTTCAATTTCTTCCTGGTTTAGTCTTGGAAGGGTGTAAATGTCCAGGAATTTATCCATTTCTTCTAGATTTACTGGTTTATGTGCATAGTGTTGTTTGTAGTAGTCTCTGATGGTAGTTTGTATTTCTGTGGAATTGGTGGTGATAATCCCTTTATCATTTTTTATTGCATCTATTTGATTCTTCTCTTTCTTCTTTTTTATTAGTCTGGCTAGCAATCTATCTATTTTGTTGATCTTTTAAAAAAATCCAGCTCCTTGATTTTTTGAAGGGTTTTTTGTGTTTCTATCTCCTTCAGTTCTGCTCTTATCTTAATTATGTCTTGTCTTCTGCTAGCTTTTGAATTTGTTTGATCTTGCTTCTCTAGTTCTTTTAATTTTGACAATAGGATGTCGATTTTAGAACTTTCCTCACTTCTCATGTGGGCATTTAGTGCTATAAATTTCCCTCTAGACACTGCTTTAAATATGTCCCAGAGAGTCTGGTATATTATGTCTTCATTCTCATTGGTTTCAAAGAACAAGTTTATTTCTGCCTTCATTTCATTATTTATCCAGTAGTCATTCAGGAGCAGATTGTTTAGTTTCCATGTAGTTGTATGGTTTTATGTGATTTTCTTAATCCTGAGTTCTTATTTGATTGCGCTGTGGTCTGAGACTGGTTGTTATGATTTTCATTCTTTTGCATTTGCTGAGGAGTGATTTACTTCCAATTATGTGGTTAATTTTAGAGTAAGTGCATTTTGGTGCTGAGGAGAATGTATATTCTGTGGATTTGGGGTAGAAAGTTCTGCAGTTGTCTATTACATCCACTTGGTCCAGATCTGAGTTCAAGTCCTGGATATCCTTGTTAATTTTCTGTCTTGTTGATCTGTCTAATATTGACAGTGGAGTGTTAAAACCTCCCACTATTATTGCGTGGGAGTCTAAGTCTCTTTGTAGGTGGTTAAGAACTTGCTCTATGTATCTGGGTACTCCTGTATTGGGCGCATATATATTTAGGATCATTAGTTCTACTTGTTGCATTGATCCTTTTACCATTATGTAATGCCCTTCTTTGCCTCTTTTGCTCTTTGTTGGTTTAAAGTCTCTTTTATCAGAGACTAGGATTTAAACCCCTACTTTTTTTCTCTCTCTCTCCATTTGCTTGGTAAATCTTCCTCCATCCCTTTATTTTGACTCTATGTGTGTACTTGCATGTGAGATGGGTTTTCTGAATACAGCACACCGATGTTTCTGTACTTTTTATCTGGTTTGCCAGTCTGTGTCTTTTGATTTAGCCTATTTACATTTAAGGTTAATATTGTTATATGTGAATTTGATCCTGCCATTTTGATGCTAGGTGGTTTTTTTGTCTGTTAGTTGACACAGTTTCTTCATTGTTTTGATGGTCTTTACCATTTGGTACGTATTTGCAGTGGCTGGTACTGGTTGTTCCTTTCCATGTTTAGTGCTTCCTTCAGGAACTCTTGTAAGGCAGGTCTAGTGTGATGAAATCTCTCAGCAATTGCTTGTCTGTAAAGGGTTTTATTTCTCCCTCACTTATAAAGCTGAATTTGGCTGGATATTAAATTCAAGGTTGAAAGTTCTTTTGTTTAAGGATGTTGAATATTGGCCTCCACTCTCTTCTGGCTTATAGGATTTCTGCTGAGAGATCCACTGTGAGTCTGATGGGCTTCCCTTTGTGGGTAACCTGACCTTTCTCTCTGGCTGCTCTTAGCATTTTTTCCTTCATTTCAACCCTGCTGAATCTGATGATTATGAGCCTTGGGGTTGCCCTTCTTAAGGAATATATTTGTGGTGTTCTCTGTATTTTCTGGATTTTAATGTTAGCCTTCCTTGCTTGGTTAGGGAAAATCTCCTGAATAATATCCTGAAGAATGTTTTTCAGCTTAGAATCATTCTCCCCATCACATTCAGGCAAACCAATAAAACAGACGTGAAGGACCTCTTCAAGGAGAACTACAAACCACTGCTCAACAAAATAAGAGAGGACACAAACAGATGGAAAAACATTCCATGCTCATGGTTAGGAAGAATCAATATCATGAAAATGGCCATACTGCCCAAAGAAATTTATAGATTCAATGGTATCCCCATCAGGCTACCACTGACCTTCTTCACAGAACTGGGAAAAAACTACCTTAAACTTAAACTTCATATGGAATGAAAAAAGAGTCCACATAGCCAAGACAATCCTAAGAAAAAAGAACAAAGCTGGAGGCATCACACTACCTGACTTCAAACTATACTATAAGGCTACATTAATCAAAACAGCATGGTACTGGTACCAAAATATAGATATAGACCAAGGGAACAGAACAGAGGCCTCAGAAGTAACGCCACACACCTACAACCATCTGATCTTTGACAACCCTGACAAAAAACAAGAAACGGGGAAAGGATTCCCTGTTTAATAAATGGTGTTGGGGAAACTGGCTAACCATGTGCAGAAAGCTGAAACTGTACCCATTCCTTAAACCTTAGACAAAAATTAACTCCAGATGGATTAAAGATTTAAACATAAGACCTAATACCATAAAACCCTAGAAGAAAACCTAAGCAATATCATTCAAGACATAGGCATAGGCAAGGACTTCATGACTAAAATACCAAAAGCAATGGCAACAAAAGCCAAAATAGATAAATGGGATCTAATTAAACTTAAGAGCTTCTTCACAGCAAAAGAAACAATCATTAGAGTGAACTGGCAACCAACAAAATGGGCAAAAAATTTTGCAAGCTACCCATTTGACAATGGGCTAATATCCAGAATCTACAAAGAACTAAAACAAACTTACAAGAAAACAACAAACAACCCCATGAAAAAGTGGGCAAAGGATATGAACAGGCACTTTTTAAAAGATGTTTTATGCAGCCAACAAACTTATGAAAAAAAGCTCACCCAACCATTAGAAAAATGCAAATCAAAACCACATTGAGATATCATCTCACATCAGTTAGAATGGCAATCATTAAAAAATCTGGAGCCAACAGATGCTGGAGAAGATGTGTAGAAATAGGAACACTTTTACACTGTTGGTGGGAGTGTAAATTAGTGCAACCATGGTGGAAGACAGTGTGGTGATTCCTCAAGGACCTAGAAATAGATATTCCATTTGACCCAGCAATCCCATTACTGGATATATACCTAAAGAACTATAAATCATTCTATTATAAAAACACATGCACATGTATGTTCACTGTGGCCCTGTTTACAATAGCGAAGACTTGGAACTAACCCAAATGCCCATCAAGGATAGACTGGATCAAGAAAATGTGGCACATATACACCATGGAACACTATGCAGCCATAAAAAAGAATGGGTTCATGTCCTTTGCAGGGACATGGGTGAATCTGGAAACCATCATTCTCAGCAAACTGACACAAGAACAGAAAACCAAACACCACATGTTCTCATTCATAAGTGGGTGTTGAGCCATGGGGACACATGAAGGGGAGCATCACACACTGGGGTCTGTTGAGGGGTAGGGGGCTAGGGGAGCCATAGCAGGGGGTGGGGAGATTGGGGAGGGATAAGATTAGGAGAAATACCTAATGTAGGTGAAGAGGGGATAGAGGCAGCAAACCACCAAGGCATGTGTGTACCTATGTAACAATCCTGCAAGATGTGCACATGTACCCCAGAACTTAAAGTAAAATAATAAAAAAAAAAGGTTACCAAAAAAAAAAAAGATGGTCATGTATAGACTTTTTTTCTTGTCATTATTCCCTAAACAATATGGTATAACAACTATTTACATACCATTTGCATTGTATTAGTGATTATAAGTAACCTAGATATGATTTAAAGAATAGAGGAGGAGCGTAGGTTATGTGCAAATACATACTCAGCCTTTTTATTTAAGGGACTTGAGCAGCAAGATTTTTGGTGTCTTTGGGATCTTGGAAACAATCCCCAGCAGATATCAATTGTCTTATTTAAATTATCACAAGCACCCTACAAAGTAAACATCATTAACCCCACCTTGGAGCTGAGGAAAGTGATAATGAGTTTACATTACTGGCCTGGGGTCATACATGCAGGAAGTCAGGGGGTAGGAAGTCAACTCAGCCCTTTCTGAGACCAGAGCTTAAGCACTGGATGGCCACACAGCACAGTTAACTGGTGTCTGGATATTCTGAGGGCAAACAAATGATGAGGAAACATGGAATATCAATGCATAAGAAATGCTATGACCTATTACATAAATCTCTAGCTCTTCCTTTAACTTTTTTTTTTCTTCTGCATTATTTCCTTTAGTTGCTGGAAATCTTTTTGCTGCATTGTCTGTGATGATAGCTGGCTTCTTTGAAATACACAGAAAACACTTCCCTCCAGTGGAGCAGCCCCTTTCAGGAAAAGTTCTCACTGTTTCCTCCATGCCCTGTTTCTACCTAATTCTTCAGTATGTTTTACTTGGAGTGGCGGAAACGTTGGTAAACCCAGCCTGTGAGTAAACACTTTTTCAACTAATGTTAGAACATACTGAACCTTTACAAAGAACTCATCACCTCAACCAGAACAATTAAAATGGTAGGTGATCTATTCACGCCCTAGAGAGTTACCACAATACTTCAAGCAAATGTATTTCTTTCATTTTTACAAAACACTTCATTTCTCCTCAGTCCTCTACCACATACAGAACAACTACCAATTCCACCTGGATGTAGATGGAACAAAAGATTTTTAACCTGGTTAAAGGCAATAACCATTTTGTCAGACATACCAAAAGAGGAAAACCTCTGCTGAAATCCAGAAGACAACTCCAAAACACTAAGATGAAAACTCTTCTCTTCTCCCTTTCCTCCTCTCACCTCCCTCCCTCTCACTCATAAACTCACACACATACCCCTTCGAAAATGACATTTAATGTTCTTTGAGAGTATATAAACATGCAAATGAAATGAAAATTTAAGCCAATTTTCCAGATAACTCAATGTCTTTAAATTAAATTACAGTAGATTAAATGTAATCACTAATGTTTCATAAGACAAGTTCAAAATAAGTTTATTAAATGTCAAGGGTTTCTGAATTATCTAGATTGCTTATATTAATTAAACTAGCCATTTTACAATTTATCACAATATTTCAGTGACTTCTTTCAATACAGTAATGTGTGTGTACATATACTTATCAGTGTAATTGATTACTTCTTATGTTTCTATCTTCCTTAAATTTTTCTGCCGTAAGAGTCATGATTGTAACTCAACCCTCTATTATACTTTACAGATAATATTTTTATAACTTCTAACTATCTTCCTGTCTCCAATCTCTCTCCCATTCTACCAACTGGCACATGGATTTTAGAGTAGTCATCCTAAATAACAATTCTAACCATTCCATTTGGGTCTAAAATCTTCAATGAACCTATTATCTTCAAAGTTGTTTCCAAACTTTTTAAAGATAAATATTTAATAAATATATATTTAAATACATACATACTTATGATACCAAAGCAATTCATTAAAAAATGAAAATCAAATTAGGTTTGAGTATAGCCATATATGTATATGTGTCTCAGACTTTGTTTTTTATAATTTTCAATCATTTCTTTTCATATATTTTGCATACATAAATTATGAGACTTTATACTGGGGACCTCGCTGTTTAACATTGCAAGAAAGACAAAAGAAGTGTAAAGCAATGCCACTACACAAATATTTGTGATCTCCTCTGATGTTATTCCCAAAAGTGTGTTGGAAGTAGTCAGCCAAAATTTTCTGGGCTGAGTAATTATTTTCTAGAATAAATAATGAGGAAAGGTAATGAGTAAATATGGGGAGGAAATTCCTAGCCAGCTTAGCAATAATGATTCAACATACAAAAGCCAGAGAGGTACATAAAACCAATGACTGTTAAAAAGGCAGATCATGTGCTATACATCACTTAATCCACCCGTCCTTGATATGCTCATCAGGAGATGAGGTCTAACTGAGGTCCTAACTAAGTCAATTGACTCATCTGCCATCAGGGTCATCAACCAGGGACTGAAAGAATTTGGTTTGATTTCTAGCTTTTCCATTACTACCTACCTAAACTTGGGAACTCATATAACCCCCAAGCCTCACTTTTCTGGTATTCAAAATAGAAATAATTTTATTCTTCCTTATATCAGAGCACTGATAGGGTAAGAATCAACAGGAATGGGAGACTACTCCTTCAAAATCAAATGACATAAAATATTAAAGGGTATTTTGAACTGTAAAATCAAGGATTACCCTTCTGGGAGACAGTACAGCATAGAGGTTAGGCTTTATGGTCTTAAAGTCAGACAGACCTGAATTCAAACCTAGTTCTGCCACTGACTAACTCTGTGACCTTGGGAAAATTATTCAGCATTTCTGGGCTTTTCTCATCATCTATAAAACAGGGAGTTGTTCAAATGACTAAGTGGAAGATTTTATGTAAAGCAAAAACCTCAGTGCCTTGTATATAGACAGCACTCAATAATTAGCAGTTATAATGTGTTGCTGTTATCATTAGTAAAAGTAATGGCAAAAACCGCAATTACTTTTGCACCAACCTAATATCATCTTTCACATGAATTAATAGTGCCAGATTCAGAACAGAAGCACAGGTGTCCTGCTCCCAGCTCTTTTTGCCATAAAGAACCTGAACAGCCAGGAGACCTGGCAGTGTAAGCAAAACTGTCTCTCACCAGAGTCACCCTACAGCCGTCTTTTTCCTCTTACCTCTCCCTTCAAATCCAACAGAAAAGTCTTAGCTTTTACTCTGAAATAGAACTTAAATCTGGCCACACCTCACTATCCCCTTTGTTCTCCTCCCGTCCTATAACACCATCATCTCTAGCCCCGATTCCACCAGAGCCTCTGTATTTTTCTCCCTGCTTCCTCTCCTGCCTATGAGTCCATTCTCTGTTCTTCTCAAAACCTTGGTCCTATCGTTCCCCTGCTTGAAATTCCACAGTAGGATTTTAGAGAGAAATTCCTCACCATGGTGAATAAGGCTCCACATGACTTGGTCTCTGCGTGTTGTTCCACCTACATTTGGTTACATTCTGCCCCTTGACCACATCTCCAGAAGTACGTGTGTCTCTAAGATGCCAGAGTTCTTTCTACCCCAAGGCCTCTGCACTTGCTTTTCTCTTTATTAAGAATTCCCTTTCCTCTGTTTTCAAATGAGTGGCTTCTTCTCATTATTGTGCCTTCTCAAAGGTCATCTCTTTGTAGGGGCTTCCTTGAGCATTCCATCACTTTCTATTTCATTACTCTGGATTTTTTTTATTGCATTTTAGGTTTTGGGGTACATGTGAAGAACATGCAAGATTGTTGCATAGGTACACACATGGTAGTGTGGTTTTCTGCCTTGCGTCCCCTCGCCTGTATCTGTCATTTACTCTGTATTTTTTTTAATAGCACTTGTCAGAATCTGAAATTACTTTATTTATATTTGTATTGCCTGACTCTTACTGTAAGAATATACACTACTGACGTCAGTGTATGCTTTTCCTTCCTGAAAAGTACATGTGCAAAATAGATGATCAACCAATATATTTTGATTGAAGAAACAAACAAATGAAATCTATGACTATTTTTATATGGTATGATAAAAACATATTATTCAAACACTTGACAATGTCCTCCATTGATGGCATTAAGCAAGGAAACACAATGAATCACTCCATAAATGACAGTGGACATAGTCTATCCTACTAAGACATGTTATACTTTGGAGATGAGCTAGAGAAAAAAGAGCAGTAGAAAAGTTTTCAAATTATGTTTTCATTGTAGCAGTGTACACCTCAGTTGTCTCATACTCTATGTTTGTTTATTCAAAAAAATACTGTGTGGGTATCTACAATGTGCCTACTATGGCTCTCCAGGCTTTAGACACATCAGTTAATAAAAATAAGGCAAAAATTTCTGCCATTGTAGAGCTTATAGCATTTCTGTGGTTGAGTAGTACAGAGTAAGCTGGGAAGACAGAAGGCTCTAGTCTGAGGAGAGTGCACAAAATTGTGATTATGGAGTGGGTGCAGTTATTGATCCAGGACATGGCTTTGCAGGCCAGTCTCTGTTACAATTACTCAACTACGTCATTGTGGTATGAAAGCAGCCATAGACAACATATACTAAATGAATGTGACTGTGTTCCAATAAAACTTTATTAAAATAGGTGGCAAGCTGAACATCACCTGGTCATAGTAATGGCCAACTGCTGGCTGAGGTACAAGGCATAGGCCATGACCTTGTGTGTGAGTGGAGTGGAAGCTAAGGTAGATTGGAGATCAAGGACATTGGAGGTCAAGGAACTGGACAACCAAGATTGAAAGGATGGATGGTTGGAAGGATGATCTATATGGATAGCAAAATTGCCAAGCATTAAGGCAGGAGTAGTACCAGAGAGTGTGACAATGAGAGAGGAACTGACAACTTTGAGAAATAGAGGAAAATGTCCTATAGATTGGCAGATGACAGCACAAAAGAGAAATAGTAGATGATATAATCTGATAACATGAAGCTCAAAGCTGAAGTTTTTTTAGGGTGAAGGGGGAAATAATGGTCTAAAAATGGCAACAGGATAAGGTTCCATTTACTGGGATTATGGTACTTCACACGTTCAAAATAACTTCTTCACCAAACACAGTAAACACATTTTAACTGTTTAAGAACAACTAGAGTAAAAAAATTTCCAGCAATAAGTCTCCAGTACCAGGTGCCTTAGGAAGGTGGTTATGGCCCTGTGTTTTGTAGATTCTGCATATGCCGTGGTGCGGCATCTTTGCAAGCAGTTACCAGCTACTATCTGGAGGCACATTTTTAGCACTCATTTGCAAGAAGACCAGCTTTCACATACACATTGAATATTTCTTCTATTGTATCGTCTTAGTAAAATGGGAATTTTAGAATAATGACAGACTTCTTGATATTATCTACATTGTAATGGGCTAAAAGAAATATCCTGGAGCCTAAAAAACCAAATTGATGATCACAAAACTTTCAAAAGATCAGAACACACAAGTAGATGCCTAAAAATGTAGATTTGAGAACTTGAAAAGCTAAGTCCTATAAAAGGGAACTGGAGGGTTTCAAAAACGACTAAAATGACACCAAAGAGAGATTAACCAGCAGGCAGAGAGCTGGCAAAGTGTGTTCATGAATTATATACCATACCAGAAGTTCTAGCAAGAGAAAAGCGTAGGATTAATAATTAACTAGCAGAGTAATAATGGGATTGTATGTTCTGCTTTTTCTCAGTGAAAGAAATCAGCCTACTTACTCTTTCTGCCCATTGCTAATTTCCTTGTATTTATAGAGAGGAAAGTTTATAAGCCAAATCCTTTTTATGGCTGTGAATCATTTCTTCCCAAAGCCTATGCAGGCTTCCTCTCATACTCCCATTTGGACCTTTCTGAAAATACTCCAAGGCTCCTGCTGGTGATTGGTACTACACAAAAGAGTTGTGTTACCTTCCCACCAATATTTGAAGCCCTTCTCTACAGTATTTTATCTATCACCATTATTATTTGCATTTCCAATCAGCATTTGTGGGAAAAGTGTGCATTTAGCACTTTCCTTTATATTAAATAATGTACTGTTTCTGCTCCAGAGTTTAAAGCCCAGGAAAGATAAACTGATGCCTTTTCCCACCTCTCAGTTCCAGCACTCGGCACTTTCCTGAAGCACAAAGAGGGACTCCTTTAAATGTTTATGGGATAAATAAATCAAAACATGTGGAGGACACACCAAAAGTAAAACAGAAATGTTACATTAATGAAGGAAAGAACATTAATGCATTTACATCATGTATTAATAAGTTCATGGAAAAGTTCTGGTAAATGCAGAGTTTTGCTGCAGCAAGGTATTAAAAAAGAAAAAAGGAAAAAAAAACAGGGTAAATATTCCGAGAGGAGCAGGAGGAAATAATAAGGTCTCTTACTTTTCATAGTAAAGGACACTAAAGGTTTAGGGTTTACTGTACAGTCATGTACCACATAACAACATTTGGTCCATGATGGATCACATAGTGGTTTCATAAGATTATAATATCATATTTTCATAAGAATATAATATCTTTAACTGTATTATTTTTGTGTTTAGATATGTTCAGAATCACAAATACTTACCACTGTGCTCCAATTGCCAGCAGTATTCTGTACGGTCACACACTGTACAGATTTGCTGCCTAGAAGGGTGAGAGGCTACCCATATAGCCTAGGTGTGTAGCAGGCTAGGTCATCTAGGTTTGTGTAAGTATACTCTATGATGTTTGCACTACGACAAAATCGCCTAATGACACATTTCTCAGGACATATCTCCATCACTAAGCCATGCATGACTGTACATCTCTTTTCTATCATCACTTTTCTTTTTAAAATGAGCTTTAATATTTATTAATGATTTCATTGTAGAAAAGATTTGCAAGGCACAAAAGAGTAAGAGGAATATTAGAAATCCAGTAATTCACCCACTCAAAACTAAGACTGTTAATATTATTTAGCATATTTCCTTACAACTTTTTGGCACACATATATATATAAAAGAGATTAATATAATAAACTCCCCTGTATCCACCTTCTAGCATCAATAATTTTCAACTCATAGCCAAAACTTGTTTCATCTCTCCCTCATTCACATTTTTTTCCTCCTTGCCATATAATTTTGAAGCAATCCCAAATATCATGTTAAAATAAACATAAAATATTTTAAGACATAGCCCTAAGATCATAGTGCATTTTATTATGTTTATATAGCACGTACAAAATCTTATATACTTATTTTCATCTATTTCTGATTTCAAAAGAAAGTTGTTTTTAATAGAAAATTTTAAAAAATTATCTTTGTGGGTTTTTTTTAACATCTTGGCACCATCATTACTTCCAAAAAATGACATGTAAAGAAATGATAACCATTTTGGAGATTCAATGCTTAAGCTATTGTCTCTGTCTGAGTACCCCTCCTGAAATGAGATAATATATATTAAGGGCTTTGTACAGTGCCTGCACAAGTAGGAGCTACTCAGTTTGATAAGATTAATATTGTTAAAAATACCTAACCCTTATTCAGGACCTACCAGTCAGCATTATACTAAGCACTTTACATGTAGTATTGCAGGTAAGTGTCCCAACACCTCCATGAGTGAAGAATGATATTATTTCCATTTCACAGAGTAGGACATTGAGGCTTGAAAAGTTTAAGTCAGTTATAGTAGATAACTGACATGGTATTTTGACACTATCTTGTTTAACTCCAGAGCCCATGCTCTTAACCTTGATGCAAATTTTATATAATACAAGTTTTCTATAAGGAACCTAATGAATTACACAGAATCACAGAATTAGTAGACTGTCATGATATTGTCTAATACAGGCCATCCCTCAATCCAAAATTTATCAGAAATATTCAATTTGGAGTGAAATTAGGATGAATATATTAGGTGACTCAACTACTAAGTAATCAAATTCTCCTTGTAGCGGGGTCAAGGTATATTTTGTCTTATTTTATTCCTTGAAGACATCCGTAAATTGTATCACAGTATAGCTTAGTATAGTAACCTTAACAAAGTGCAACCCAAATTTTGACTGTGTCAGTAAATTTTCTTTGATATATAATCAACATCAATTTCAACAGTATCTATGAAAGTGCTTTCGGGAGAGTGTTCTAAATTCTGACCTCTCTTTCTCTCTCAGTCTCTGTAATATCATACAGATTTGTTCCAAGCACCGTCAGAGGAACCTCCATGAATTTTCTGACACTGTTCAATGGATTTGGCTGTTTCACAGGGGCACTGCTGGTGGAGTTGGTATATCTCATCTCAGAAGGTAAAAACAGGTTCATGGCATGCTTATATACATTGATTTGATGACTAGGGAACTGGGAGACCAACCCTTAAGAGAGGGGCTTTGCCAGTGTGGTCTTCTTTTTTTAATTGATCCACTTTTGCAATTAAGATAGAATTAAGATAGGAAAAACACTCTTGCTGTATTCATTAATTTCTGGGAATTGTTTTTCTTTTGATAGGAGGAGGTAATTACAGAATGTCACTTCTCATGAGACAATGTCTGCTGTCCTTAGTGTATTTTAAAACAAACTGATCATTATATTCTTATTAGATCTTTCATTGAGGCCATATTCAATAATGCCTCACAGCTGTCATAGACAGGCCTCAGAAAACGTAAGACCTGTGTAAATACAGGGAATAGGGTACCTAAATGATCTTTTTTTTCTCATGATTTGCCACAGTTTTTATCTATGCAAACAAAGAGAAACTGTGAGTTGAATAATAAATGATATTTGAAAATTTTCCCAATAGAGATTTTGGTCAGAAAAAACAACTATTCTGAAAAATTCAAATATTATTTGAAATACTGAAGTACCTACTAACGCAAGTATTAAACTAAAGCAAATATTAAAGAACTACTCTTTGATTGCATGTTTTGATGAAAACAACAACCAGACAGGATGACAATAATGATTAACCATCACAGTGAAATGACTTTGTCTGTATTTTAAATCTGGACTTTGGAAATGTTGTTCTAAATGCCAATACAGCTTTAATTGAATTTTAATTTACTTTTGCTTATTTAAGGGAAATAATCACAAGTGTATTCTCTACTTTCAAAAACACTTCCAGTTGTGCACTTAAAATGATGTAAGGAAAGTGTTAGTTCCTGTTATCTTGTAACAAACAAATTTAATTTATCTGCTTTTAAACTATGAAAAAAATCAAATTCTATGAAGGAGATACTCCTTTTAACACTAAATCTCCATTCAAAAAATATTTATCAAGGACCCAATCTGTTCCAAGCACCATACTGGGCACTGGTGACACCATGGCAAGCAAAATAAACACTTGCAAGCCCTCAGGAAATTTCCAGGGGTACAAGGAAGCAATGAAATTTAAAGTGAAAAAGCCAATGGTAGGTATAGTAGCAAAGTTCTTGGGAAAAAACCTAGTAATCCTTGATTGATGACTGACAGGATCAAACTCTACCCTTTTCTTAGTTATCTGAGAAAAATAAGGTCAAGCGTGTGTTGAATATTTACTATGTACTAGGCTGTGTGCTACGTGGAATTGTATGAGATATGGTCCAGTTCTCAAAGAAACCAAATTCAAACTGCCATACTAACTGTGTGAACTGAGGCAAGTTGCTGACTTCTCTAGTGCTCAGATTGTTGGTACATAAACTAGACACAAAGCACTGGCATTAAGATTTTGTAAGATAACTTTGAAAAGTCTTACTTATATTCACACCTGAAACATTTTCAGTGTTGAACAGGTTTCCTTTCTTTACATTGCTCAGCAAAGATACCTCCAAAAATTTGCAGAAACAGAATTTCTAGAATCAAATCACATTTGACATACACATGAAGACCTGCAAAGTCAAATATTACTACCAGTTTATCTTTTATACAAATATAAATTTTTCATAGGCATGCTTAAGCAACTTATCCAGAGTTAGACCAAAAAGCCTGGGTTAACTTCTACCCAAGACCATCCTCACTTTAGATACTAGCCACAAATTTGGAAGTTCCTAGGGCTGTCATTACCTCTGACAAGCTGTGTATAAATGTGGGGGCCCCACAGACTCCCTCAGGTATGATAATTTGCTAGAATAATTCACAGAACTTAGAAAAGTACAATACTTATGACTACAGCTTATTATAGCAAAACAATACAAATCAGAATGAGCTAAAGGGAGAGGCACACGGAGCAAAGTCTGGGAGGTTTCCGAAAGTGGAGCTTCTTTTATCCTCAGGGATGCACTACCCATCGGACACATCAATGTGTGATGATATAAGAATAATACCAACAAGGAAAGCTCACCTGAATTTCATGCCCAACGTTTCTATTGAGGCTTATCACATAGGCACTATTGATTGAATCATTGTGAGCCCAATCTCCATCTTCCTTCTGCTCCACAGAAGCTGGGTTGGTATATGTGGCTCAAAGCTCAAAGTCTGATCATGTGGTTGGTCTTCCTGGCTGGCCACTCTCCATTCTGAGTCATCTCATTACCATAAATTATCTGTGGGCCCTCTCCATTCTGAGTTGCCTCATTAGCATAAACTATCAGATGGGAACTGAGGGTCTCACCATAAATAACAGACATTCTATAGACGGCCTCCACAAATCAGTCCAGGCAAAATTTTTAATCACACAACTATTCTTACAAAAACATTTCACTGAAAATCTAAATTTTTATTGAAAATCTGTTTAGCATGGTAGGAGCTTTTATGCATTATTGTAATTATTACAGCAACTTTATATTGTTATTCTTATTTTTTAAATGTAACAATGAAGGCCGAAAAAATACAGTAAAGTTCTCTAGTCATCACAGCTGGTAGCTGACAGAAATTTAATCCTCTTAGCATTCCAAAACCAATTCCAACATTGATTTCAATACACCAAGCAACTTGTAGAAATTCCCAGATGTAAGGGTTTTTAAGGACATTTGTTACTTTTGCAATATAAACTCCTTTGATGGAGGTCTGTATGATATCAATAATATTCTAGACATAGAACAAAGATGGAGAAACAAAAGTTTATGTAATTTTGGCACAATTTGGTGCCCATGAAAGGAAATTTATCAAGGACATATGGTGAGGGCATCCTAGCAAGATGGGTTGTGGGGTGGGACACTTTCTCAACTGTGCTCAAGAGAACATCATTTAAATTACCACTAATCAGTGTAAGCTATTTCTTCTTTTAAGTGTATTCTTTCCAGTTTATAATAATAGTGTGCTATATCAAATTATATCCCAGTAAATTAGAATCATATAGTTGAATGTTGCCTTAGATCTCAACTAGTCTAATGCTGTACCAAAAATAGAAGACATAGTAACATAATCTAGTGCCCAGAAAGATTCTCTACTTTGAGACAAAACCCATCTATTGATGTGTTTTGTGTACCCATCTATTGATTACCATGTTCTACAGAATAAGTCTGATTTTCCATTCACACAGCAGGTCTTCAAACATTTGATACATACTTGGAGAAATAATATGGCATAATGGTTAAGATAATAGATTCTAGAGTCAGACCACCTGAATCTGAATCCAGGTACTCTAGCTATGTGTTCTCAGTTTCTATTTCAGTAATGATAATAATAATTCGTTATGTTGTTCTGAAGATTAAGTAATTAATATGCATAGTAAATGTTCAATAAAAATCGTAATCATGATCCCTTCGATTTTACACACAAACCATCCCAGTCTTTTCATATTGCAGGATTCCTTGATTTTTCACTATCAAGGCCCCTCCATATGAAACATACAACAACTTGTCAGATCTTTCTTAAAATATGGCTTCCAAAATTGAACATAATATGGGTACAACCAGGGTACAAGATGGGTACAACCAGGATAAGTACGTTACTTTTATCAACCTGGACTCTCTCTCTCTCTGAATGCCAACAGAGATTTTGTTGACCTTTTCATAGTTCCGTCCTGCTTATGGTCAATTAAAACTTGAAACTTTTTTTTAATTTTCAGGAGTTGCTTTCAGTTCAGTTCTATTCATCGCAGTTCTTTTTATCTAATTAAATGCAGTACCTTATTTTTATCTTTAATAAATGTCAACCCATCATCCTAAGTAATAGACATTTATGAAAATTGATTCTGTGTCATCTAGGGAATTACTAATCGTTACTTCTTTACTTGCTTTGTGTCATCTGCAAATCTGGTAAGCAAGTTCCTAGACTTCTTCCAGGTAATTGATAAAATTTTTGAATTGGACAGGACCAAAAAAAAGTCTTACAGAAAATTCCTAGACCTCATTGCAAGTTAATGACAATCCATTAATCCTCTCCTTTTCGATATAATCAGTTCCCAATTCACCTAATTACTATCATTCAGCCCACATACTTCTCCATCATTCACTAAATGACATCACAGGAGACTTTTCACATGTTTTTCTGGAAAGAGGATAAGTCTCTCTTTGTGACAGTCCCTTAAGCCATCAGAATAGTATTCCTCAATGAAAGAAATGAGGTTCATTTAGATGATTTGGCTATAGTAATCCTATAGTGGTGTAATAAATAAAGGCCCTAAAAGAGAGTGACCATAGCATGGTTTTGGGTAGGTTAGTATCTCTCTAAAACTGTTTTTTCTTAATTAAAAAAAGGAAATTACACTTCACTTTTCTCAGAGAGGACGAGGGAATACAATTAAATATTTGAACATTTCTATGCCAGAGATTATTTTTAAATATAAAATTGTCATACATTATAATTGTCCACTTGGCTAAAGACCAGATCAGTCCACTCAAACAATCAGACCAATTTTTTTGGCAGAAGTGACTGTAATGAAACAAACACTCTAATTATATATTTAGGCACCCTGCATCCTTCAGCATTTCATTTAGTATATAGGATATTTTCAACCTTTAAGGATTCATGTCAGCTGAGCATGTGTGCATGTGAGTGTGTGAGAGTGTTAGTATACGACTGGAAAAGAAGATCAGCTATCACAGTCTTCCAGTCTCCAAGCTGCATTAGTCATTTTTAGCACCATGATGGAGAATGGTGTGAATGCGGTAAATTCAAAAGATTTCTCAAAACTTGACTATGCAGACAGATAACTGTTAGAGTGACATTTTCAGTACAAGTGAGAAAACTGATCCTTCTGGGATCTCTAACTCTGAGTGCTTTAAAGGAGAAGATACAGGACTAAACCCATCCTCCTACACTAATCATTTCAGGAATAGTTTATCTAAAAGTAGCAATGCTAATATAAAGGAATGAAGAAGTCAGTCAAACTGCTTATTTCGACTCTGTCCCATTAACAACAAGATCAATTTCCTCACACTCATAAATTCGA